TGGCGAGCCTTGCACGTGAGAGGCACAGTGGAGGTGGAGTTCAAAGAAGAATGAGAAATTTAATGGTTTCAATCTGCCCTTGTTTTTTCTTTTTCTTTTTATTTTTGCATGTTATCACTGTGCCCGTTTTTTTGCTTTTATTCTTTGTTCCGCAAAGTGCGCTCTTTTAGTTTGTAGTGATGTGACAATATATATTCTTTTTCCTTTGCTTTGCTCTTCCCCATTGTTGGGGTATTTCGTTTTACGGACGTACTGTATGGTTCCGTTTTTTCAAGTGTTGGTTATGTAGAATTGTTGGTATTTTTGGTACTCTTTGTCTGCATCCCGGTTGGTTTTGTCTCGTTGTTCGGTCCACGTGGCGGTGTTTTCATGTGAGTTGTTCGGTCCACGTGGCAGTGGTTTCATGTGGGACTTGTCATCCGGTTTTTTCCTTTTGGCATCCTAGTTGGCTGGTTCCTGTTGTTTGGCCTATCGAAGGGGGAGGTGCTTTTAGGTGGGAATCGTCATCTGGGATTGTCTTTATATATATATTTTTGCAGGCAAGGGTGTTGATTGCTATCCTAGTTGGTCGTTGTCCCGTCATTTGGCCTGTGACGTATGGGGCGGTGCTTGCATGTGGGACTTGTCATCTAGGATCTGTTATTTTTGTTTTTTGGCACCCTTGTCTGCATCCCGGTTGGTTTTGTCCCGTTGTTCGGTCTATTTTGGCGAGCGTAGCGGTGCTTTCATGTGGGACCAGTCATCCCTTTTTTTTTTGTTGTTCTGCCTATGAGAGCATGAATGGTTTAGGAATGGGAATAAACTTGTCTTGATGACGAATAAGGCCATCTGCTGTACATAGTTTTTTTTGCAGACAAGAGTTTTGTCCTGGATGGTCTTGTCCCGTCGTTTGGCTTGTGAAGGAGGGGTGGTGCTTGCATGTCGGACTTGTCATCTAGGATCCGTTTTTGGTGCTGTTGCTTGTTGCCCCCTGTTTTGTTGTATTTGGCTGTTCCCTTCCTCTTTTCTTTACCTCTTTGCCCTTTGGCTGTGTGCAAGTGGGTCGATATGACACACGGGGGTGGGGGCAGCCGCCGCTCAACCTACATCCACGTGGGCGGCCTTGTACGCAAGAGGTTCTGGACAGGGGGAGTTGTAAGTAAGAAGATAAAAAATGAACTGATATATTTTTTGTTTCCTTTTGTTTTTTTTCGCTTTTGCGCTCTGATAACTTTGTGACAATATGGTGTGTTGGCACTTGCTGCTCAACCACACAAATGTGGGGAACCTTGCACCTTCTATTACATTGCCCGCAAGGTGAGAAGTTGCAAACCAAGTCCTGCAGCGGCAGACCCTTTGGATAAGCCTCCGTCATCGCCTGTTTATAGGCAGGCAATGTCGGCTGTGGAATCCCAAGAAGCTTTGTCAGTGCGGCACTGCGATTACCCACCTGATGCTCGGCTAGCATGCTATCGGCATCCTTCGTATCGTGAGGAATATGGGTGTATAGGCCATGCAGTTCTCGTTTTCAATATAGCCTATAATGACAGTCAATATTGTATGCATGTACAACACCCTCACATGTCATACCCTATTTGTAGACAGGGGCTGGAACGGCAGTGCCTGTGCAATTTTTATTGCGGTCCTCACGCCTCTGCGCCCCTAGAATATGGGATGGGAACCTCGTTACCTGTGACATCTGTTTGTACCGCGCCATTCAATGGAGCAGCTGCAACTGCCAGAACTGGGTGCAGTGCTTCCATAGTCCACACCCGAACTGGGCCTCTGCAGGGGTGGCCACTTGGAATATAGGCAGGACCCGCTTCTCAGCGCATTTTTCTCTGCAAGTCAACCCCTGACTGACCTCGTCTTCCAGCCTCTGGCAGTCTGCTCTGCCGGCGAGTATTGAGGACTCAATGAGGTTTTTCTTTTCCCCTGCTCTCCCACCCTCCGCTCTCCTCTTCTTCCCCCCCCTCTTTCTCACTCCCCTTTCCCTCCTTTCTCCCTCCCGTTGTGCCGAACACTAGATGCATGCGAATGAGCATCATTAGAGAACACAAAATATATGGTGCGGGTGTGCTGAAAAGCAAGTGGGTGTGCATCCCACACTTAGGTACACAGGTGTGGTGAGCCTTGCACATTTCAGAATACAACAATGAAACGGCTGTTTCATCGAAGCATTACATTACAATCATTTAAAGTATTGCACAATACCCTGTTTTCATACTAACTTGTTGTTTTCCAGCTTTTTTCAAACTGGACAGATATACTTCGCGTTCTCCATCCCCTCATGCTCCTTATCCGAGTTTACTGTGCTGCAGAGCACCTGCCACGGCCTCAGCCCCGGTCTCCATTTTCTTGGTGCTCAGTATCATCTCTTCCTGTTTTGTCCTTTCCTGCTCACCTTTTATGTGTCTGCATTGCTGCTATGATCCCGACTGGTAAGTTGGAAAGGAGAGGTAAGGTACAATGAGTGAGGGTGGCAGGACGTGAGTCTCTCTGCTCTGTCTGTGTGTGTATGTGTGTGTGTGTGTGTGTGTGTGTGTGAGAGAGAGAGAGAGAGAGAGAGAGAGA